CCCCCCCCCCATGGTGACCCTGCAGGATTGGACTCTGCGTCCCATTCCTTCCATAACAATGGCTCCGCTGCTGGGCAGCAGCCCTCAGGCAAATGCTCTTTGCCAGGTTCCTGGACGTCCCTGTAGGGAAGGCCCGTCTGTTCCTGGCACAGTGAAAGTGCCCGGCAGGAGACCCGGAGTCATTGCTGTAGTGAGTAAACAAGTCGGGGTGGATCTCTCACCAGCACCCAACCACATTATGTAGTGTCCTTTATCATGATAGGCTTATTTCAGGCGTGCTTAAGACCGTGGTAAGCACTGTGGGTTACCCAGATGCGTATAGAAGACATTAGCATTGCCTTTGATAAACTTAAAACTCCAGGGGGCCGTTTATGTGTTTTCTTTCGAATAAACTTTTAAACTCATGGGAGACAAGGAGCACGTGAAGAAACAAAGAAAACTTCTGTGGCTGAATATAAAGACTTCATTCCGAGAAGAGGCAGACTAAGAGAAGTTCATTGGTGAGATGGCGTCAGGGGCAGGACTGTTGAAGAAAAGAGTGACCAGGCTTTACAGCTCTATTTTCGTCTTGATGAAAATTAGGGGAAAGGTGAGAAGTAGCAAAAGAGGTGGCAGTAGCAAGTGCAAGGCCTGTGGGTGATGTGGCTAGGTAGTTTGGGTGGGGACACATGGGGAGGGGCTTGGTGGCAGGCGGAGGAATCTGGGCGTGTTCCTGCAGACCATTGGTAACTACTTTGGGTCTTGAGCATTAAAGTGGAGTTTTACGAACATTCATCCAGCCTTGGTTCCTAGGAGATGCTAGCACGGATTAGAACTAAGAGCCCATTGCTGCAGCAATCCACGTGTGCAAAAGGTCATGGTGGTCAGCATGGGAATGGAAAAGGCTGCTTGAATCTACAGGACATCGAGGAGAAAGGACAGGCCGGCCTTGGTGACCCAGGGGATGCTCGCAAAGAACTGAGGGTCCCGCAGATAACGCCTAGAGCCCCTATCAAATCAATGACCCTGGGAGGTAGAGAAAGGCAGGCATAGTGAAACTGAAGCGAAGATTGGTCAGTGGCTTCCCCAGGGTAGAGCATGCCTCCTCAGAGAGAGACAAGGATGTGCTGAGAAACCTGAGTGTATTTCCCATTAGCTAATAATAATCAATGTCCTAATAATCTTCCCTGATACTCCCTTCGGTTGAAGTTTTTTTGTTTGTTTGTTTTTAAAGATTTTATTTATTTAATTGACAGAGAGAGAGGGAGGGAGAGAGAGAGAGAGGGAACACAAGTGGGAGAGGGAGAAGCAGGCTTCCCGCCAAGCGGGGAGCCCGATGCGGGGCTCGATCCCAGGACCCCGGGATCATGACCTGAGCTGAAGGCAGTCGCTTAACCGACTGAGCCACCCAGGCGCCCCTCGGTTGAAGTTTTTTATTTGTCATCTAATTCCAACCTCCGTGACACTGATGTTTCCCTTTACACTGGCACGCTTGCCTCTTGCTGGTGCAGGTGACCGTGTGACGGGTCCTCCTCTCTGCTGTCCTTGTCCTTCAGAACACACAGCAGAGCCACAGGAAGCAGCAGTGAGATGGTGCTTCCTTGCTCTTCTTCAGGTGCTCATTCACTTTTACTTTCCACTAGAACTCAGCCCTGAGGGTTCTGACCGAGCGCTCATGGAATTGTCGTGTTCACTCAGGGTGTGAGCCAGACTGGTTTCAATGTTTCATCACAAATTCATAAATTCTTTCAGGTACTTGCCAGTCTCTGCTGTATAACATATTCCCCCCTCCCCGGCTCTTGATCTTCCCACAAGATATAAATGAGTCATCAGAATCTTTATCAAAAAGCACGATGCTCTTATTGTCTGTAGACACCTGTAAGTATCTATAGAAGGAAGTGTGAAAAATTAAGTAGCAGCTTAGATTTGTTAAAAATAAAACTGAAGTTTTTTGTTTTCTCCTTCAGTTTTGTTTTTTGCTCGCTTGAGTGGTCTACTCAGGAAATGGTCTTTCAGCTAGTGGGTTTTTGAGGTTTGGTTATTTCACGATGTTTCTGTCTCTTTTGGTTTTAGAATGGAACAGACTCCTAAGAATTGCTGTTTGCTTTTAAAAAAAAAAATCTGCAGTTGTGCTAAGACACTATTTTTAGATTCTTATATTGGCGTAAAAGGACTACAGAGGGCATCTCAGCGAGTTTCTCTTTACCTCATAATCTGTCTCTATCTTAGCTCTCCCTAAGAAGAGACTGAACTTAAAGATTGTTTTGAAATATGAGCTTGAGAAAAAGAGCTTTAAATCTTATTTGATTAGGTCTCTTTTTGTTTATTAATTAATAAAGTTCTGGTTTGGTTGGAAGTGATTACATTCTAAAGGGACACGGAGTTTATGAAACTCTCTTGTTAAAATACAGAAAATCATTTTCCTTTTCGGTTTACGCTTTGCTACTCTGCAAACGAGCAAGTTAGTTTGGAATGTTTTTATTTTAATTAGTAATTACATCTATGTCTTAGTCTTGAGATGCTTTATTAACTGGTTAAGGGTTCTTTTCACTATATTCTGGCTTGTTCGCTACTGCATCCCCAGCCCTAACATAGTGCTTAGCATTTAGTTGGTACTCAATAAATTTGTTGAACAAATTGATGGATTTTTATGTCTTTTTTTTCTAACTTAAAAAAATGGCATAAGACTTTTAAAAAGCACCCTTGATCCCAGCACTTACACAATTGATCCTTTTCTGCATCACTTAGTCTTCATCTAACCTTATACATACTTTTACAGGGTTTGAGCTATTGTGAACTTTAGATTTTGTGCTTTTAAAGGCTTCCCCCCATATTTTATATGCCTTAAAATAGCCAAATTAAATATTGCATTAGTCAGAGCAACAAAAAAATTCCCCTTTAATGCTAGCTAGATGGGGCTAATTGGAGAAATCCTATCCCATTCTCAACAAATATTGTTGAAGAACTCTGCTTCATTTTAATTTATTGTGTGGCTCGGGATTGAAATTCTTTATTGGCTTCACCTGCCTATAAGCAGAATCCCTCAAAGAACGTTCCTTTCCTGTTGTGAGGTTCAATAGAGTGGAGGCGGCTTCATAGTGTTTGGAGTCATGATTTCCTAAAGGGACTTTGAATAATGCAAAACAGAAAGGATTGCTAATATCTCAAATAGAGGAAGCTCTAATGGCACATTTCCCAGTTTTCTTCAGGATTATTTCAGACTAATTTTGTTAACAATTATTTATGGAATTTCTGTCCTCAAGCAGAGATGATATGCTGATTTGGGGCTGTGCTCACTCTGGATGAGACAGTCTTAAGTAGGTTTGTACCCACTGAGGAGAGGATTTATTCAAGCTGAGATGTGGAAGCTTTTTCTAGAACAGCCGGCCTGTCAAACAGGGCCAAAATGCCACACGCACAGCATGGCTTCCTGAAGCAATGGCCTTTTCCAAGGCACCAGTTGGGAGAGTAGAAATGTCTTCTCTAGACATGGTTCGTGCTTTGCTCCCTGAAAGTTATGCTGTTGCCAGCAAGGTGGTTGACGTTACTCTTTTTCTGTTCCTTATAGTTAACTAGTATTGCATACAGGGGACATTGTGCCAACTTCCTGGTCAGGTGCTCCTCATGGGGGCCACTGTGCTCCTGGATCCCATATAGACGAATACTCAGTCCTGAAATCGACAACACTTCCCTTAACCGAGGTCGGCACTTCCCCAGCCCTGGGAGAGACACAGACTGTCAGAAGCAGCTGACTTTGCTTCATCCAAAAGAGAGTTTGAGGTCTGTATGGCAGACTTAAAACTTCTGAATAAAAATGTCTTCTCTGATGAACAGAAATTTGCCACCGATCACATGGACAAGACACTTTTGGGGAGAATAGTACAGGCAGAAGATGTCTTAACCCCAAACAGTGAAGTTTGGAGCCTCCCTCTCTGACTCTAACTGAACTTGGCTGAGAAGGTGTCAACAGGGCCTTTGTGTTCACTGAGGCAATGGGGAGAGGCAGACCCCATCCATGAGAACTGGCATTCTGCCTTTTCCCTAGGGGACCAGAAAAAAAGGTGAATCTTGCTTAAAGATGATGGAGTGGAATAGTCTCGGAGCTAAGCAGACCATGTATGATGCTCTGGTTAGCCTCTTGTTTGTTACAACTTGAGTTGTAACCAGGTTCCTTCCTTGAAAAGGAAGGCACTAGGGCCCTGAAGTGATGATGGCTTTGTTGTGTGACCACAGAGGCTGGTTGCGTACTAATTTCCTCTAGGGCTTGTGATGAAGTCAGTTAACCACAGCCTTCAGCATGCTCTGCTCCAGCGACAGCAGCGGCTTCTTGGTGGTATCTCGGCCATGACATACATTTGACATGCCCTCCTGTAACCCGCTGGTAGACGGTTTCTCTTGACCTGCAGCATGGACCAAAGGGAAATTCTGCACAAGTTCCTGGAGGAGGCCCAAAACAAGAAAACTAACAAAGAGGAGTTTGCCGATGAATTTCTGGTGAGTCCTACGTGTGACACTCTCAGGGGAGTTACACAGACTGTTTAACTGACGAGGATGGTCCAACTCTCCTAGACCAATTGCTCTTGGGATAAAAAGTGAATATCAGACCGTGCAGGGGAAGAAGGGAGAAAGGCAACCTAAAAGTTCGACTTTTCTGAGTGGCTTGTGTGTTTTAAGTATTCTCTCCAAAATACTGTTTTAAATATTGTGTTTGCTAGTTCTTGGAATTTGACTGGGATTCCCATGGAAGGCCTGCCTGATTCCAGGTGTATAAATACCCACATTAATTGAACATCTGGAGTTCCTAGGCATCTGAGTTGTGGTTTAGGCTTCAAATGACTACGTTTAATTAATATTAAGAGGAAAGAAACTAAGATTAACTTTTCATGGAACGTTATATGTTAGCCTCCGCATGGAATTCCACTTGGATGACAAGGGCTCTTGAGCGCCAAAACTACCTGCTGCCATTTTTCTTTATCTCTTTTCCTTTTCTTATGTATTTTCTTAGGAAAAAAAATGAGAACATGTGTTTTTGCAGTGACAGGGTTTCCTTAAGCTTCTTTTGCTTGGAGGGTTGGAATGGCTGGGACGGAGAGTTGGAGACAAGTGAGGGGCATAGAGCCTAGGGCCGACTAGATCTGACCATCCAGATCAGTTTTCTTCAGGATTGGAACTTCTGTCCTCAAGCAGTGGGAGTGGGGGTGATCTCCTCTAAGGGGACTGTGGTGACTGATGTGTCAGCAGCTGGGTAGGCCTCGTTCGCCTATAACCTAGCACATCAGAGGACATGGGATATCTGATAGTACCTATTGTGTGTTTTGGAACACTTCCAGCTAGTGTTTCAGGGCTATCAAAACTTGAAACCTTGGTTTTTCAGCTGCAAAGAAGTGGGAAAAACAAGAGAGCTGAAGCAGAAAACCTGAAATCAAATCATGATTCTCTTGTCAACCGAACTATCAACTCTTTGACATGTTCCTTGATTTCCCCAAGTCTTTGTTTACTAACTTCCAAAATGGGGATGATAATTCATGTCCTACCAATCCTCACGGGTTGTTGTGATGATCAAATATCAGTAATAATTAAATGTGCTCGTTCATTCAATAATATTTATTGAGCACCTCTCTGTGTACCAAGTTTAGTTCCAGTCCCTGAGGATACAGCCATGAATGAGACAACACCTCTGTCTGTGCTCATGGACCTAACATTCTGGTACCAGATAGTAGATGTGAAAACACTCTGTAAAGTCTTGAGTGATTAGATGTTATGACTATATGTTGTGATAGAAGGCCCTATATCAACTCAACTTGGATACTACTGTGGAATGGTGAAAAATGTGCTCTCATCCCCCCTGGCCAGGCAGGGAGTCCCTCTGAGTAGAGCTACCAGGGAGAGAGGCAAGGGGAAAGTCCTGGCTTATGTGTCTGTTTAGACACGTGCCTGCCCCTGGGCTATAACTCCTGAGTCACCCAACACATAGAGGCAAAAAGTGACCTGAGGGGCTAGTGCCAACCTCTGTCTTATTTTGGTTGCATTTTTAAAAATAATATAGACTACATCCTTAATATTGTACTTTTCTTACCTCAGTCATTATAATCTCCCACCAAATTATGGCAGTCACCTCACCTCCTGTTTTCCCTGCCTCTAGCCTTGCCCCACCTTCAGTCAATTTTCCATTCAATACTAATAATACAAACCTGGTCAGTTTCCCCTGTTTAAAAACATTTTTTTCAGCTGCTTAAAATTGTGAAGTATAATACATAGTTAGAAAATTACAGACAACATGTATAATTATAAAGCCACCACCGCCGAGGTCAAGGACTAGAACATTCTCGGACTCCAGAAGACCTCTATAATCGCTTCTCCAGCAGGTCCCTCACCCCCACTCCCATCCCCACCCCCACTGTGTCCTGCCCTGCCCTGCCCAAGGAATAATCACTATCCTGACTTTTATATTAATCACTTCCTTGCTTTTCTAGCTCTTGGTTTTAAGGACCTTGTTTTCGGGTGGTGATTAAGTGGAACCTCACTGTTCACTGACTCATGTCCTCCAGTGGAAAAACAGAGTCTTGTCCTCAGCCCCACCTAAAGGTTCAGCTGAGATACCAGAGACATTCATTTTGGGGGAGTTGGGTCGTGGTGAACAGGGCTAGGTTGCTTGCTTGGACAAGGTCAATACTGCCACTAACTTGAAGGGCTTTCCATATGGTCCTGTCCCCCATCCCACCTTAAGCCCTTTAATGTATTCTCCCAGGATTTGATGTTTTTGAGGTTGGAGGACTAATTCTGTGACACGAAGCCACTGCTAGCCTAAATGGTAGTGTCTTTGTGGGAATTATAGAAAGTCATCTGTGGTTCTAGGGAGACAATCTGTGTACCCTGCCCCCCGCCAGGTCAGAGGCTTGGATTTCAGTCCCCACCCCCAACCCCTTGGCTGTGTATCTGTACACAGAGCACATGGCCCTGCTATGCCAGCTAAAGCCAATACCATGCAGCGTAGGACTTTTCCTGTGCCAACACTAAATTCAATCACCTTTCTGTAGCAGAAACTGCCACAAAACTAGTGGAAGTTTAGTTCTACTAAATGTGGCTCTTAGTGTAGTGGAAACTGCCACGACCATAAGCTTTTCATGCATTCATTCACGTGTTTACCGAGCGCTTACTATGTGCAAAGCATTGTGCTAGATGCTGCAGTATGCAATTGCAATGCTTTGATGGAGCTTATCTCCTAAGACATCAGAGAATGTCATAGTGAGGGAGACATTAAACAGCTAATTACGCTAGTAAATATTGAATTGTGATAGTCTTGGTGGGGTGCATATTCATTATCTTATGTATTACTCATTAAAAAAAAACCCATGAGGTAGTTATGATCTGTGACTTACATGTGAGAAAACTGAGGCTCTCAGAAGTAATTGGCCTAAGCTCACGCCAGTGTTCAGCCACAGGCATGAAGTTTAACCTGGATCTGTCATTTCAGAGCCTGTGAATTGAATCCTTATGCAGTAGTGTCTTGCTTCAGCCAGTAACACCAAGTTCCCCAAAGGTCCTAGCCTGAGCATAAGTCCCCAGTTAGTAGTAGAGTTTCTTTCTTTCTTTTTAAGAGAGAGAGAGTAAGAGTAAGGGGGAAAGGGGCAGAGAGAGAAGGAGAGAGAGAGAATCTCAAGCAGACTACCCTCTCAGCGCAGAGCCTGACTCGGGGCTCAATCTCATGACCCTGAAATCATGACCTGAGCCAAAAATCAAGAGTCGGATGCTTAATTGACAGAGCCATCCAGGCGCCCCATATTGTTGTTATTCTTATAAAACAATATTATTGCAAGTTAAAAGAAAATAAATTCAACATAGTACCAATATCCCAACAAATACAGTCTTTTTGGTGTGGAAATTCTAGTTCTTGTCCATTTATATACTGCCTTTTACATTGTTATAATGACAGCATAGATACGATTTTGTATTCTCATATTTTCACTTAACATTATACCAAAATTATCTTGTTAATTAAAGTCCGTATTTATGGCCGTTGATGCAGCATTGTATAATGAAAGAATAGTACTCATAATAATAGATAATACGTTCATATTTCTTATAGAAACCGTTCTAAACACTTTTATGTATCAAGTCATTTAATCCATTGAAGAAGGTACTATACATTTTATAGATGAGGAAACTGAGACGGCTTAATTGACTTGCTCAAGGTCAGAGAGCTAGTAAGCGTGGAACAGAGATTTAAGTTCAAGTAGTCTTGCTTTACCACCTATATTTATAACAACTTTGGTGTCATAAGCCTGAGTTTGAATTTAGGTTCTGCCTATCATTAGCTCTGTGACCTTGAACAAAGTCATTAAAAAGTGGGAATAAAGAAATATTCACATTGCAGAATGGCTGTGAGGAAAATGGAATAAATACATAAAATGTCTGACGTGTGGTAGACACCCAAGTAATTTGATTTTTTCTTTTCTTGGACATTTAGATTATTCCCAGTTTTTCACGATTATTAATAGCATGCAATAAATGTGCTTGTCCACATGGTTTTCCTCTTCTTTTGAATTATATCCTGGGGCTAGATCCCCAAAAGTATCATTATCGGGTTCAAGAGTCTTAGCATCTAATTGGCTAAGTATTGCCAAATGTGTCTTTCAAAGAGCTTTTCCAACTTGCAAAATCTGAATTTATCACCTTCTCTACCACCTTGCTAACTCTTAATAACTATACAAGAAAATAAATCTTTTTGACTGCTTACCATATGTTAGGCAATAAGTGGTTTACCATATATGATCTTAATCACTACAACCCCAAGAGGAAAGCATTATCTTCATTTAACCCATGAAACGGCAAGGCCAGGATTTGAAACTGGTCTGATTAAAAGCCCTTAACTTCTACACTGCATCATAACATGGTCCCCCCACCCCGCCCCGCCACCATTTAGTGTAAAATAGTACTTTGTTATGTTAATTTTATTTATTTGATTTTAGAGCCTCAAAAATTTTCCTGATTCTTTTTTTAAATCAAAGTATAACTGATGCACAGTGTTACATTAGTTTTAGGTGTACAACATAGAGATTCCACAACTCTATACTCCATGGTTATTTTCTACCTGCATTTTCTCATTTTAAATTTTCTGTTCGTCTACTTTCACCAATAACTAATCCATGGAACTGTGTTCCAGACTCTATGCTCAAGTGCTTCACACACAGAGCCTCATTTACTTCCCAAAGAATCCCTTACAATGGCTAACGAAGTCCTGCATGGACCAGCCCTGGAGTGCTTCTCCAGCTTCCCACAGCAGGTTGAGTTTCTTGTCCTTGTCACGCTGCTTCTGTCACACGGGCTTTGCGCACATGTTGTTCCCTTCCTTCCTTTCTTTTTTTTTTTTAAAGATTTTATTTATCCAACAGAGAGAGACACAGCGAGAGAGGGAACACAAGCAGGGGGAGTGGGAGAGGGAGAAGCAGGCTTCCCGCAGAGCAGGAGCCCGATGCGGGGCTTGATCCCAGGAC